TGCTGAATGCTGATCTCAAACCATACTTAATCTACACTATCAGCACTGAAACAGTTTAAAGTTGAATCTGGAATTTAAGTTTTGTGCATTAAGTTTTGTACATTTTGTACAGCAAATATGGATTTAAATGTCAAGTTTACAAGGTTATCCTCAAGCTCTCCAGTGCCAGCTTTGGTAATGTATACACAACTAACACCGGTAGACATGGGTGGACATGTTCAAAAGTATACAGTAGTGGAGGTACTTACATAATTGTGGAACACAGGATTATGCTTAAGCTTTTTAGGCACTTCTGAAAATCACTAAAATCAGTAGGGAAACATATTAATGAATAATATAGTAAAGGTTCTAGTGTTTCCGTCAAAAGTAGGGGGAAGCTTATCCTGTACCTATTTTGTAGCCTCATTTAACATTAGCAAAGCTAAATATGAAATTCAAGAGCTTGGTTAAATTTAGAAGAGTTCAGAAGGATAGACGTGCACATAAAATTCATTTCCACTGCACTGTGTGAATGATGATAGAGATGATTAGTGTTTAAACAATACAATTTTTTTTGTTCTTCTTTGTCAGCCATTGATTTAATAAACAATTTGCTTCAAGTGAAGATGAGAAAACGTTTCAGTGTTGACAAATCCCTTAGTCACCCATGGTTACAGGTAAACTCATCTGCCTTTTTCACTATGTTCATAATGGGTGAATAATGCTTTTTTGGCCGAAATCCTTCAGAGGCTGCTTTCATCACATTCTGCTAACAAGCATCAATGGAGGCTTGAATATTTCGGGTTTTAGCTTTATGTGCTCCAGGATTCTGGAGCATTCATTGTCTTGTCTCTCCCACCCTTTACTTTCTGTCTGACACCGACGTGGTTTTACTCCTTTGGCTCCTCCCCTGAGTGCAGGGAGCCCTGTGAAATCAGCATGGAGACAACCATTGTTTGTTCGGCGCTGAAGTGGACACACGGGCTGGGGTGTGCTGTCACTTGTAGTTGGTTTAGAACGGATTTGTTAGGAATGGAATTTATCTGCTGCTTTGAGCTGAGTTCCTTTCACAGCGGTTTCACAATACTGCATGCACATAGCCATAATGTTAAAGGGAAAATCCAAATTGTTTTGAGAATAAACAATATTGGAATAAGTATAATTTCATATATGTGTATATATACAATTAATAATAAAGATACATAGCCATCTTGTTACAAAAAAGTTTTCATTATTTACAACCTATACTAACCTATTTAATTTTGAACTACTCTTTGTGGACAGTGCTGGGGTATTTTGTGGGATGTTTGGGTTTGGTTTTCTTTTTTCGTTTTCTAATTGTTTAAACAGATCTTGCTTGTATCTTGTGGCTTTTTCTGTTAAAAGAGAGACAAACTGCAGAATTTATCTGTGGGAACGTTGTGCTGCTCTTTCTTAAAACTGCTTCCTTAAATCTGTTTTGCTTCTTAGGATTATCAGACTTGGCTTGACCTCAGAGAATTTGAAACCCGCATTGGAGAGCGTTACATTACCCACGAGAGTGACGATGCACGCTGGAAAGAACATGCTTACGAGCACAACCTTGAGTACCCCCAGCATTTCATTATGGCTCCTAATCCAGATGACATGGAAGAAGACCCTTGATTTATTCATTATGCTAAATTGCAGCAAAGAAGGACGCTCCAGACAGAAACTGAAGATAAGTTGTGGAACAGCTATTGCTCTTTCCAAATGCTGTACGCATAGTTCGGTGTGTAAAGCCCCAGAGGATCCTGCGTGGACATGGGAATAGACTGTCGCCTGACAAGCTTTTCTCCATCTCCGACTTTAACTATGAGTAGTTACTGGACAGTGGGATAAGCCCTGTTGGGTAACATTTCACTCAGCTGGGTGGCAGCAAAGCCACCTCTGAGGTGTAATGTGTACAGGTTGAATGGTTTCTGTGTTTTTCAAGGTTTTTTGTGTTTTTTTCATAGCCTACGCAATAGGAGTTTTGTAATAGTTTTCTAATCCCTATTTACTAGGCCATAGAGGACTGTTTTCTGTTACTTAGATACATTTCCCATTTCCTAAACTGTGGATGTTGAAAAGAGACTCTAAAAAGAAATTGATGCAGAATATCTTGGCTAAAGCAAAACATGGTGGTTTAGTCAAATACAGCTTCATAGATGAAGGAATAATTTGCTGCTCTTAAGACAGTTAAATATGTGTGTCTTTGCCCTAATTGAACTTTTTCCAGACACCAAAAAAAAACCCAAACCCATAACTTCTCACATTCCTCTTGAAATGCTGGCTGACAATCTAAGGAGATGACAATCAAAGCTATGCTAGTTCTTTGTCTATTAAAGCAATAAGCCACAACAGTGCACTGCTGTGCAAGGCTGGCACGTGTCGTTGATACACACCAAAGGCATTTTGCCTTAAAACTACACAAGTAATGCACAGAGAGCACACAAGACTTGATGTAGCATATCCTTTCACTCTAGAAGACCAGCTTCTAGCAGAAGGATGTGGAAAAATAGGGAAAAATACATGCAGCTTTCTTCTGTTGTTTTGAGTAACTAAATTTTTAAATTTTTCTAATATTTTTCTAATTTTTTTAAAGTTCCTTGGAGTTACATCAGGAGTAGTTTGTAGCCTGCTAGCTTATATCTTAACTCTGCTCAAAACCTAGGAGTAACAGTGGATACGTCACCTGTTGCTTCTGCCAGGGCAGCTGGATTGTAGGAGAAAGGACTTGCTTTTCCACCATAACCTGCAGCCCCTCCCATCCTTTTTACTGTGTCCAGTGCTGTTTAAGCTCAATGAAGGGTCTGAAATCAACTCCTAACTCAGTTTGTTATGCAGAATTCCCAACCACTTGTTGGACTTGTAGCACAATAGAAGGGAATCAGCACTGTTCTTTGGAAATTATTCCCTTGGAGATCAGTTCGAGTTCATAGTATTTCAAAGAAGTCTAGGGCCATGAATGTTAAATGCAAATCAAAGAGGGTTTTTTTGGTCCTATTTTAAGAAACAGAAAGGGTGGAATCTTTACCTTTTGTGGGATAACAGCATTGTGCTGCTGGAAGGTGCAGGATGGCTGTACATACCCCTGATGTGCCAAGCTGCTTAACTGCAGCTTGGTTGGAAATACTTAAAAAATACTGATAACAGGCTTGAGCTGCAAAGTCAGTGAGAGGATTTGGGGTATCTCCTCTCTCCTACAAAGATTTTCTTCTTTGTTTGTATGTAGATAAGTATTTTTTCTATTGTTGTTATTCAGGTAAGGAAACAGGTGAGCAGACTTTAAAAGTTGTTAGATAAACTGAAAATGTTACGTGGTTATTTCGGGGCTGGCAGCTGCTTGTGATAGCAGTGACCTGGCAGTAAAGTCAGTGGCAATTGCAGAAGTACATGCCCACAGGTAGGTTCAGGTCTTTAACCCGCCTTTTCCTTTCCTATTGCCCTTCATCTTTAACCTGCCACTGCATTTTGGAGGCTGAGCTCTGGCTTCTTAACCCTGTTAGGGGAGGGTTTCAGGACTGATTCTTCAGAGAGGCGCGATTTTTCATCATTGGAACCAGAGCAGTAACCTGTGATGTTAGTAGTCTGGCATTTGCCCAGGCTTGGCAAGGGAAGCAGTACTGTTTTTCACCTTCCACTGCTCAAGTGACCAAATTTCAGTGAAGGCATTGCTATCTTCCATCCTAACTGTAGTAATGTAGATACAGTTTGGTTCAGATTTTATACTTGAGCTGTCACTTCGGGTTTACCTGTGGTTTTTTTGTTGTGTTGTTTTAAGGGAGGAAATAAAGCCAGCTCAGTCACTTGAAAAAGCACAACAGGAATGGAGGAAGGAGGGGACAACAATGAAGTAGGAGGCCTAGCTGATGTCTCTCCCCATGAAGTCTGCTTTGCTTCAAAATATTATATGACCTATTTATTCTTCAAGTTGTATTAAAATAAAAATAACACTGTTGGCCTTTGGAGGAGATTGCCTGATCATATATGCAGACTTATGGGGCCAGACAAGAGAAGCCACAAGCAGCTAATAGTCAAGAAACCAAAAAAATCAGACATACATTAGGAGTAAACTTTCTTCAGAGTAGTAAAAATAGCTGGGTTTTTTATTCCCTTTTTTTTCTACCTTTACTGCAAACTTTGACAGCAGTAGGTTACAGTGTTTAATACCCTTATCCCTAGATGAATTAAGTTGCATTCATTCAAGCAATAGTGCTGGTGATGCTAGGAAAAAAGCTCATGTAAAATTTATAGCCTCAAAAGGACACTGTCAAGTACTTTTATATTTTTATACATCCCATTGTTTGTAAATATCCTCTGATAAGCTTGAAAATAAAATTTATTTCCCTATCAGTCTTGTTCTTTTTATTTACATGAATTATCTCTCCTATCAAATGTTCTCAGAAGTAAACGCTTGCTTGTTTGTGGATCTGACATGAGATATGCCCTGCTCTGGGAATTCTGTTAGCAGTAACTTTTTTTGCATGCATCCTGTCACCATTCTCTTTATAAAAATATTTTCAGGGCATCTTGATTTTATTCAAGTACAAAAGCTGAGTACATTTAAAGACTCCTTAGCTCATCTGTTTGTTACTGACAAGTTTTTATTCACTAGTCAGTACCTCACTCAGCTCTATCCTAAGACCCCCCTGAAACATTGTTCATTCTCTGCTCTGTGTGTGCTGTTTTCTGTAAGAGCAGTGTTTTATTACCACTTATACCGCTTTGAGTAGGTCAGCCAGGAGGCTTAGTGTGCTGCACTAATTTACTCTGAAATAGCACTCCCTGCCAAAATGTGGCTGAGCCCTGAAGCGTAGATTGAGAAAATTGCCTGAAGAAGGTACTTCATCTGCCTTCTGTTCAAAGATACTTAGTTCTTACTTTACTGTATATACATTAATTACATTATTGCAAAACATTTAGTATGTAAAACCATAAAATGCATGACTCAGTTCCTTTTACTGGGATTTGTTTTTAAAATTTAATAGGATGTTATTGAAAACTACTGCTATCAGACGTTTTGCTATAGTACTTGAAATTACTTCAGTAGGAGTTCATTAAATCCAGCAACAGGTGGTAAGGGAGACTTTGATTCTGGCTTATCTTTCTTGTCAGGATGTACAAGTCTGTGGTGAGGGAGCAGGGCAAAAAAGTTAAAGCAGTCCCCCATGTTCTCAGGATTCATCAGCATATCATAGCTGCGAAGTAACTGCTCACGAGTTGCTGTGTCACGTGAATTCTGCAAGAGCACCTGAAAAAAAAAAAAAGAGAATGCAGGTTACAGCTCTTCCTGCTTTCCTGTAAATTCCCACACACCTGCAATCCCTTTTGCATCCTTTTCACTTACACTAATCTAACAGTGCTGTAATGGTTAGGTGGAACTAGTGAGATCACTGGTGGTGCTATATACATCCATGTATGAGCTAAGTTTTGCATTAAATGCTCCTAAATATAATATGATCAGTTTACTTCCAGGGATCCTGAGTGACTTCTGTCTAGTAGAAGCAACTTTCTGGATCTCCCATCTATGCATTATTTTGAACAACTTCATTTTAAAATCAGATTTTTACAAAAGCTCTCTTGCTGCTTAAAAGTATTGTCTGTGGAGTGGGAGAGTTATGTACCTGTAAGCACTATCGTACCTGCAACCGGAGGTCAATGCCCATGTTTTTTAAAAACTCCCGCTGTTTTATGGGGCCTAATGTAGTTGTCCTTTCCTGTGTCATCTTTCGAAGATAGCTGAAATCAACATCTGCTGTCAGGTCTGCTGTGCCAGGAGCGCTCAGCACATCGTGAAGTTTGTGATTCTGGAAACCCTGAAAAATTAAATTGGAAGATTATACTCAGCTGTAGTCCAGCTGTCAGAGTTGGGGCCAGCGAAAACTAAGCTGTGCGTTTGAGGGGTGAGAATAGCAAATCATACATGGAAAATTTGAGATAAATGTAGTGAGGGCCCAGATTATCCTCTTCCATCTGAGAGAAATCCTTGTAAGTACAGATTAAATAAGAATTACTCAGTTTTATAACTTGCAGCATAATGCAGTTTTTGCTATTACGTCCACCTGAGAACTTAGAAGAACCTAATGATCAAAGGGACAAATAAAAGATAACAGAGTATTTTGGCTTCTTCTTGAAGGCTAAATGACTTACCCGGAAGGTGTCAGTTTTGGTTCCATCATGGCCATAATCCGCAACCAGTGCAGCCCCACCATCCTTCTCTATGCGACAGGCAAGCCTCTGGATGATGACACCAGCCTCGGGACACACTTCCACGTGATCTCTCGTTTCTTCTGGCTAGTGTAGAGTTCAGAGACCAAAACACCTGTATTAGCAGATAAGTACAGGGCAAGAGTTCTTCATGCTTGATGTCTTGGGACTGAGGTACAGGGTGTGTATTCTAGGCTACCCACAGCTTGAGCTAGTTTTGCTATCAGTCATTTTCCACTAGTGTTTTCTGAGTGCTGGACTTCAGTCACGTCTTCTGTAGTAACCTGTAGTCCAAGAAGAATTTTTCTACCAAGTAAGAATACCTGCATCAGGTGAAACCTCCTTACTGTGGTACTGACAGAATGAAAACAGCTCTTCAGCTGTGCACACCCTTCAAAGAGGCCTTCCTGTGTGAAATTTTGTAGCTGGTTTTGGTCTCCAGGACTTAATTTTATAACTTTTGAGTATCCAGTGAACTTCAGGAAAAAAACCACTTATGGACCCTTTCCATTAAGGGTCAGCACAGCACAGAAGCACCCAGCTGCCTGCAGCAGTACCACGAGAGCCTGGCTGGGGCACGGCCACTGCTGGGATGGTGATGTGAACACCGTGCAGTGTAGAACTCGCCCTTGTCACTTGCTGCCACAGTTTGCTCTCTGAAGCATTTTGTGTGTTCGAGCTCTGATTCTGCAAAGCTGGGTGGATGTGTTTATTTCTGTGTTACGTTTTCACAGCATACAAAATTCAATGCTTGTGGAAATCTTGCAGAATGGAAATAAGCTCTATTTACTTATTTGTATGTAGATTGGGAGCCCTCCTCTTGCTGTCAAGGTAATTGAGAAGCAGTTAAATATACTTGAAAGAGTCACAAAAGGTGTAAGTAAGAGCTCTTGTAGGCATAAACTCACTTGGATGAAGTTTTCTGTTGCAGGAGTGCTGGATGGTGACAGGACAAACCGCAGCTGATCAGGAGCTTCTGGATCTATATCAACCAACACTTCCCGCCAGCCTTTCTCAGTTCGCTGTTTAACAAGCCCAAAGTACTCATTTTACACTCTAATGGGTACCACAGCATTTTGTTTATTTGATTGAACTAATATGTCAAGCATTTTCAGGAATGTTTTAAGAACACAATATGCTATTAACACCAATTACTCATCCTATTTAATTCCAGTAACTGCTTTAGAAAAACCTTGTGGTAGAGTCTCATCTGCAGAGCCAACAAATACAGGTTTAATGACACTTAAAAGGAACGAATGCTGCTCTGAAGAAAAATAACGCCTCTTCTATTGACAGTGCAATATTTAACTTATCAAAATAAAATAATTCACTCTACCAGAGATTTCTCATAAACTAGTTTCTTCTGAATCATAACTAGCCTCTACTGGCAACTCTCATTGCCATTTAAATGATAGTCCTTCAGTCTTTTGTTAATAGTGTTAGAGAAAATCATGTGGAAATTAATAACTTCATTAATGTAACATCAGAAAAAAAAACCCAAACCCTTCAGCATTATCTCAGCAGAAAGAAATCCTTAGCTTTCTACAAGTTTTTTCATTCAAGAATAATTACTAATTTTACAGTTATCAGCTGAATTAAGTCCAAGTTCAATTAGAATTATGTTATCAGCAGAGACAGTACATATGTCTAATTTTGCACCTTAATTCTGTTCTTCCTGAAAGAGAGAAGGTGTTTAAACAGATGTTCACAATTACAGTAATAATCTTGCTATACCTGAAATTTATGTATTGGCAAGGCATCAAAGAACTCATGCGCTAGGTAAAAGCTGTAACCTGGGGGAAGGTAAAAAAAGAATGCATTAAATTATTTATTCTTCTGTAGCAGCTTCCAGCTGAAAATTATTTTTTTTAATGATCTTTAATGAATTAAGCTAATTAATGTGGTTGCAAAATAATTACTTCCAGCTTGGATACATCAAAGACAGTATTTATACAGCTAGTTTTAGCTTTCAGTCCATGAATTCTAGAGCAGTATCTCACGAAAGGAGATTCAGGCAAAGCCAGTGAATGGTTTCCCATGAAAAGAAAACATCAGAAAATGAAATTTGATAGCTATTCCCAAATGAAGGTAGGCAGAATAGGTTGTAGTTATGAAAATGAGCAAATTTCCTGCCTCAGACTTGTACAAGTAAGAGCAAATATGTATTTTAACTACTTTTCTGTCTAATGTGAAGGACAGCAGAGATGACCTCTGTTATCAAAGAACTGCATATGAAGGAAGGACACCATCCCTTTAATGAGGTGTTCAAGCTCCTCACCTGATGGCACATCCTGAATGTCTCTGTACCAAAAAATGGGAATTCCAGTCTTGCTCATGCCTTTCATGTAAGCAGACTCGTCCTTGGGGCTTGGCTGCACCTTCCCTCCTGTCAGCATCTGTGCTTGGATCTCGCCGAGTTTGGGACTCACTTCTACCAGGTGAACAGAGACATCACATTTACTAAGTACAGAGGAGAGCTGGCTGAAGACCTATAAAGGCAGATCAGTTCTATTAGCCACAGTCTTGTGCAGTATACATTAAAGGCTTAAGTATTAACCTTTCATCTCATTATTGACAGTCAAGATAAAAAAAATTTAGATGGCTTTCTGTTTAATAAAACAGCCTTAGTGAAAGAGACTGCATTGTCCTCCTTCCGAAGGAAGTGAAATGGGAATTTGTTCATGTACTTTAATAAAAGCTGCTATCCTTCTAGTAAAGTTAGCAAAACACAGCACATATTACAAGGCTGTAAGGACAACATGAAATGCTAATTTGGAACAGTAACAGCAGCTCCTCTAAGATCTGCAGAGACAGTTTAACATCTTGAGAAAAATGGTTCCGTTTTCACTGACACCATAAACCAGTGTTCAATATCCCACTGTTCTTTTTTCATTAATATACGTAAATAGAATAAAAGTTCTTCTGAGGCGCTAAATCCCATTAGTGATCTGTGTACGAATCAGCAGTATTTTAATTGACAGCCATGCAAGCACAACTGAACACAAAGGGTTAATTCAAAAGAAATAAGCCCCTGAAATCCCCAGAAGAACTAACACAATTTCACTCTGTGTTACTGTCCTCCCCCCCTTCTTCCTATTCCTTGCACTGAGGCCTCCATCCCAGTTACAGCTCCTAAATGGTTTCCAGTTTGGATAATGCTTTCCTACACAGAAATAATTTGTAATGGAATATTCCTGCCCTCTCCTTCTATCAAGTGCTGTTTGGAAGACCACACACGTGTCCATATGGTGGGCACACAATGGCCTGTGTTCCGCTTCTGAACGAGAGACCTGGTGTCTCAGAAACACACATCTATTTTAATTTGAGTCTGAGCTGCAAACCTGACTGAAGTGATTTGGTTACTAGGGAAGGTTAAACCCTGACAGCAAAACATCATTCCTTCAGATTTCACAGCAGCCATGGAATAAAGCCAGAAACAAAAATATGAATGGTTTTCACCTACCCGTAATATATCCTCAGTAAGGGTGCCCCTCCCTGGGCCCAGTTCCACCAGCTGGAAGGTGTTAGGTTTGCCCATGGCCATCCATTCACTAATATACCATATTCCTATTAACTGTCAGTGAGAAACAACACAAAGGGTTACAGTAGTAACTTCAGAACTTGTGGAAAAGTGATACCTGCCTTTTGTCTCATAATAACTAAGATAATATGGCCACATTCTCACTCCACATTTCAAAGTTAAGAATAATAATGATACATAACTTCGTGCTCTTGTTTGCTGTCAGCCCAACAGAAGCAACTCTCCATCACATCACATCAGTAAATGTGGGGACTCTGTTCTGGCTGAGGCAACAACTTTTACTTAAGGCTCAAATGCAGGTCACTGCCAGGTGCCTCTGAACAACTGTTCTTCACAACAATGCATTTACCAAAGTGTTAACAAGAACAGCATTCAGTGCATCTTCACTAGTGAAAAAACAAATCAGAGTCAGCCAGACTGAACTCTGGAAATTATTTCTGAAGAGAGTTTTCACAGCGGGAAACCACCATAACTCTATTTATAAACAAGTTCTATATGATAGTGTTAATAACCACAAACTGTGTTACAGACTATACACATGAAAGGAGTTTCACAGAAAACACCCCCTCCTCCCTCAGAACCAATTTTGATTCTGAGAAATAACTTGAAGCTTATTATTGCTACTCAAGTATTTTGACACTGGTAAGGCACCAGAACACTGGCCTGGAAATCATAGAATATGTAAAGGTAGAAGTCACCATATCTAGTCCAACCTCCCTACTCAAGCAGGGTCCTGGAGCACATGGCACAGGATTGTGTCCATACAGTTCTTGAATATCTCCAGTGAGGGAGACTGCACAACCTCTCTAGGCAATCTGTTCTAGTGCTCGGTCACTGCACAGTAAAGAAGTTCTTCCTGATGTTCAGGTGGACCTTCCCATGCCTCAGCTTCTGCCCATTGCCTCTTGTCCTATTGCTCGGCACCACTGAGAAGAGCCTGGCTCCATCCTCTTGGCACCCTCCCTTCAGATACTTACAGACACTGATGAGTCCCTCTGTTGTCTCTTTTTAAGGAAGAGGCTGAACAGCCCCAAGTCTCTTAGCCTTTCTTCTCAAGAGAGATGTTCCAGTCCCTTAATTACCCTTGTTGCCCTCCACTGGACCCACATCAGGAGCTCCAGGTCTCTCCTGTACTGAGGAGCCCACATCTGGACACAGCACTCCAGATGCAGCCTCATCAGGACAGAGAAGAGGGTAGGATCACCTCCTTTGACCCGCTGGGCAAGGCTTCCTGATGCATCCCAGGATAGCACTGGCCTTGTTGGCCACCGGGGCACACTACTAGCTCAGGGACAGCTTGCTGTCCACCAAGACGCCAGCCAGCCCCGCGGGGACAAGGTGAATCAAACAAACAAACAAACAAAATCACTGAGGACACACGGAACTGCGTTACCTCTCCGAACACCTGGCTTATTTCAGGCGAGGTGATGAAGTCCCCGCTCTCGCCGATGCCGCCGCGGCGGGTGTAGTAACCCTGGGGGACACAGAGGGGATGCAGTAACCCTGGGGGGACACAGAGGGGATGTAGTAACCCTGGGGGACACAGAGGGGATGTAGTAACCCTGGGGGGCACAGAGGGGATGTAGTAACCCTGGGGGACACAGAGGGGATGTAGTAACCCTGGGGGGCACAGAGGGGATGTAGTAACCCTGGGGGACACAGAGGGGATGTAGTAACCCTGGGGGGCACAGAGGGGATGTAGTAACCCTGGGGGGCACAGAGGGGATGCAGTAACCCTGGGGGACACAGAGGGGAGAGGGGCCGGGGCCGCGGTGAGCGGCGGGGCCGGGGCACAGCCCCCATCCCCCGGGGCCGCTGCCGGCGCACCTGTGCGGGGTTGGTGAGCGCCTCCCGCATGTACTCGGCCACCGTCACGGGCCCGCTGGCCCGCAGCTTGCGACACAGGTGCCGCAGCAGCGCCCCGGCCCCGCCGGCCGCCGCCGCCGCCTCGCCCGCCGCTCCCGAGCACAGCCGCGCCGCCGGCGGAGCTGCGGGCAGAGCGGGGAGAGAGGGGGCTCGGCGGGGCGGCGGCGGGAGGAGCGGCGGGGAGAAGGTGCCGAGGGGCGAGAGGCGGCGCTCACCGCGGGGCCGGGCCGGGGCGCGGGGGGCCCGCCGGCCGCCGGCCAGCAGAGCGCGGCGCGCCAGCAGCAGCGCCATAGCGGCGGATCCCGCTCCTCCCGCTCCTTCCTCCTCCTCCTCCTCCTCCCGGGTCCCGGACCCCCCAGCAAGGACGGGGCACCGGCCGGACGCGCGTCACGCGTGTGCGCGGGAGATCTTCCGGCGGGCGGCGATGGCGGCGGCGCTGTGGGATTTCGGCGCGGGGGAGCCGCGGAAAGCCGGCGGCGAGCGGCGAGGAGGAGCTCGGACGATGGGGATGAGGAAGGAGGAGATGGAGATGCGGGAGGGTTCACGCTGGACGAGGTGCTGCGCCTCGGCGGCACCAAGGTAAGGGACGGGGCGGTGGGAGCGGGGACCACGTGGTGGATGGGACTCCCCATCCCGGGACGGGCCCTGGCGGGGGGAAGGGGGGAAGGTGGAGGGGGTCCCACGGAGATATTGGGAATATGTTCTTTGCTCGGGGGGTGGTGAGGCACTGGGACAAGTTTGCCCGGAGAAGGTGTGGATACCCCATCCCTTGCGGTGTTCAGAAGCCAGGCTGGATGGGGCTTTCACCAGCCTGGTCTAGTGAAAAGTGTCTCTGCCCATAGTAGGGAAATTGGAACGAAATGATCTTTAAGGTCCCTTCCAACCTAAACCACTCTGGGGGGGAGCCCTTGGGAGTCTTGGGAGACCTCGCACTGCACCTGACCGTAACAGCTGTGCACTGCTGCCCACAGCAAGATTACCTGATGCTGTGTGCCGTGGACGAGGCGGGTGAGATGGTGGATGGCGGCAAGAAGGACACGATGGATGACCTGAAGGAAGGGGAGCTGGAGGCGTTCATCGGCTCCCTGGGGCTCAGCAAGTATGCGAAAAGTTGCTTGGTGGTGGAGGGGGATGAGGATGAAGGCGGCGGCAAGGAGAAAGAGAAGCCTCCAAAGAAGGAAAAAAGCAAGAAGGAAACTAATTCGACTCCACTAGAGGGGAAAAAAGAAAAAAAACTCAAGGAAAAGGCAAGCAGTGTGAAAGACAGCAAGAAGAAGAAGACTGGTGGTGATCAGGGCCAGCACCCCTCAACAAAGAAAGAAAAGCTGGAGGAAGATTTTGAATTTCATGCTAGGCAAGCAATACTGATCAAACCAGGGGGCAAGTGGTATGACCTGGAATACACCAATGAATTCTCTCCAGAGCCACAGAATCAGACACTTCTGTCCAAGTATAAGGCCCTGGCCCAAAAGCTGTATGAACACGAGACAGACCTGTTTAAGAACAAGACAGACTACCAGAAGGGGGCCTCTTCGGCATGGATGAAAACTGTTGTGTCCTCGGGTACCTTGGCTGACAGGATGGCAGCGATGACCCTTCTCATCCAGGACAGTGCTGTCCACAGTCTTCAGTTTGTTGAGAACTTGGTAAACCTCATAAAGAAAAAGGGCAGCAGGCAGCAGAGCCTCATGGCTTTGGATACTTTCAAGGAACTTCTCATTTCAGATATCTTACCAGATAATCGAAAATTGTGGTCTTTCTCTCAGCGACCGTTTAACAACATAGTGAAGATGTCGAGTGGCAACAAGGATTCCAGAGACAGACGGTTGATACTGTGGTACTTCGAGCATCACCTGAAACTGCAGATAGCAGAGTTTGTGCAGGCGTTAGAAACGCTGAGCCATGACTGTCTGACAGCCTCGAAATCCCGAGCTCTGGCAGTTGCCCATGAGCTTCTCTGTAACAAGCCTGAGCAGGAGAAAGCTCTGTTGGTCCTGCTGGTGAATAAACTGGGAGACCCTCAGAACAAGATCGCCACCAAAGCCTCTTATCTTTTAGAGACGTTGCTTCACAAGCATCCGAATATGAAGGGAGTAGTGTGCAGTGAGGTGGAGAGGCTTTTGTACCGGTCAAACATCAATGTGAAAACTCAGTATTATGCCATTTGCTTTCTAAATCAGATTGTCCTCAGTCACGAAGAAAGTGCATTGGCTAACAAGCTGATCACTTTGTACTTCTGCTTTTTTCGGAACTGTATTAAGAAAAAAGATGTTGAATCCAAAATGCTCAGCGCTCTCCTTTGCGGGGTAAACAGAGCTTATCCTTATGCTGAGACTGGTGATGAGAAAGTGAAAGAGCAAATGAACACCTTGTTTAAAGTTCTGCACCTAGCAAACTTCAGTACCAGTGTCCAGGCCCTGATGCTGCTGTTTCAAGTGATGGATTCTCAGCAGACTGTGTCGGATAGGTACTATGCAGCACTGTACAAGTAAGTGGCAGGTTTTGCATTTTTTATATAAATTTCATTTCATGAGATAGTCACCATTAATTTAAAGTTGTAGAAACACTTATTTTGATTTTAAGGTCTTGCTAATTTTGTGCTTAATTGGCTAAAAATTTCTGATGTTTTGTATGAGCTGGAAGAAAATGTATGTGATTTCTTTGACTTAACATGGGAGTGTTAAGTTTGTAAACTTAAAGAGTGTTTGTTTTGTTTGTAAAACAAAAGGTAGTGATAGGTCCTGAGAACACAACATATGCATTTCATCCTTTGCCACTCTTTTCTGGGGGCTTGTTTTAATTCCAGATGTTATTTGAAGCTAATTGATAACTCTTTCTTCTAAAATCGCTTTTATGGGTAAAAGTAAATAAGCCTGTAAATAGCCTAAAATCTTGTTTCCTTTATTTTTTCTTATTGTGAGGAGGGGGAATATTATGCTAACAAATTCTTTAGATGATTTAATTTGTGTAGTTGGAAAGCCCCGTGTTATAAAAGAATTTTTTTTTTATCCCAGCTAATTGTTCAGACTCTTTATAGTGTCTTTACAGGTTTCTGTTTAGTTGATCAAAGGGAAGTTGCTGGTTTTTTAAAAAAAGAACTTAAGTTCCCCCAGACTGTGGAATGTATTTAAGGGCCTTACTGTGCCTGACAGCCAGGAAAAAATTGGGGTTGGAAATGAACCCACCAGTACATATGTCTGGTCTGATTGTGAAGCGTGCTGATTCCTAACCATTTGCTTTCTATTTTTTTGAATATCTCAAATTTTGAAACCGTTTTCAGTTGAACTCAGTTTATTTATGTTTTCTTATAATTTTTTTGTTTACCGATGCAGCTTTTTTTTTTATTTTTTAAATCTTCAGTGTCTCATATAAAGGCAGAAATGTTACACAGCTCTTGACAGTTCAGGCTTGATCATAATGACTTTGAGTATTGGGGAACAAGCCGTCACTGGTCTTTTAGATGGCACTCTGAAAAATGTAGATAATTGTTGCTAATAGCAATTGTTCTGCTACCTGCATTGTGACAATCAGCAATGTTTTCTCCTGTGTGTTCTACAGGAAGCTTCTAGATCCTGCTTTAGCAACCTGCTCAAAGCCATCCATGTTCCTTAACCTTGTCTATAAATCTCTGAAGGCAGATGTAGTGTTACGGCGCGTGAAGGCCTTTGTGAAGAGGTTGCTTCAAGTCACCTGTGGACAAATGCCACCCTTCATTTGTGGAACCCTGTACCTTCTGTCTGAGCTTCTGAAAGTAAAACCAGAGTTAAGGGTCCAGTTGCAGGATCACGTGGTATAAAATGATTTCTTTACCTCATTTCTTTTTCACTAAGAGCTATTTATATAAGCACCATCCCCTGACCTATTTATTAGTAAGCTGAGGGTTTGCTCAGATGTTGTTTCGTGAAGGGGGGAGAAACACATTTGTGTGTTAGATTTTAAGTCCCGCATCAAGGACAAAAATCTGTATTTCTTAAACACTGGCCATCATTTATGTGGATTTTTGTAAGTAGCTTAAGAGCAATATGTGCATTTTTCTAAAAAATCAGAATAAATCTGGAAAGGAAAAGCTGTTTGCTAACATATTTTGGTTTTTAGGAGTCAGATGATGAAGAGTGCTTTAAGGATCAAGAAGAGGCTGAAGAGGATGAGGAAAAATTTGTGGATGCAGACAAAGAAGTAGAAGATAAAGAGAGAACCACAATGGAAAATTCTGCAAAACCAAATAATTCAAATTCAACAGCCTCGTGGGTGCATCATTTGAATATGGGAGGTAAATTAGTAAGAAAATGTAATTAATTTAATGTCTAGCATTCCGTAACAGTGACATGTTGATCAAGAGTTGTTTTAAGGTTAAGTGACTAAAACATGATTTTAATTTTTAATTGAAGTTTGATTGAAAGCAGTCAGTCAGAATAATTTATTTCTTAGCTCAGCAGTGATGAAGAGACTCTGACTAGTGTATTTCACTTTATGCAGTTTGCAATAAACACATAAATTATGCCTTAGCAATAAACAGACTTGGAATTTTTTTGCTTCTGTGTTCAAACACCTTTAGAACAATATATCCAGAGTTAGGATGTGTAGCTTCTCATTTGCTTGCCAAGTTTGCTAGAACCATTTCTCCAGCTTTGAACCTGCACCCAGTTTCACTCCTTCCTGAAGACCTTTTGGAACAGGGCAGGGATTTCTCAAGACCTTCCTTGGAAGCACGTAGGAACTCCACCTGCACACCTGATCACACACTGGTGAAGGGCAGCTGAATGTAGCCTTTACCTGCTGCCAAATGAATCTGTGGCCTGTCCAGCTGAGAATGATGGGCAGCATTGCTGTCACGGTGAAATGAAAATAATACTCTTGTAAAGTTGCCGAAGAAAACTTAGGATGTTTTCCTCTCCTCTGTCCCTCAGGCAGGAAGAACGGAACTACATATGATCCTATGCACCGAAGTCCTTTATACTGTGGTGCTGAAAGTACAAGCCTTTGGGAACTGAAGAAGGTAGGGCGTTCTTACCTTGGTGTTACTGTGTTTCTTAGGGTGGCCCTTGCATTAAGAGAGGAAAATGAACTTAGTTATTCTTGGAGTAGCTCCCTGGGTAACATAACAGAAAGTTTAAAGATGATATGTTGTTCAGCTTTAAGCTTGTATGTGTTCCTTACAATGATGATATTCTGGAGTAGGGAATAAGAATTTTTAAGTGGAGCTTTGGACAGTAATTATATTTTTTGACTTTTGGATCTTAACTTTGATCACTAAAGCTTTTTAGTGTTGCATTAAATCAGATTGCAAGTGA